GCACTGTAATAAAGATGATGATGATAACAGTAAATATATTATTTGTTTTGGTGAGAAAAGAGAAGTGTATGTGTTATGGAACAGGTTGCCCAGAGAAGTTGTGGATGTCTCATCACTGGAAGTGCTCAAGGTCATGTTGGATGGGTCTTTGAGCAACCTGATCCAGTGGAAAGTAGCCCTGCCCATCACAAGGGGCTTGGACTAGATGATCTTTAAAATTCCCTTCCAACTCAAACCATTCTATGATTCTATGATAAAAGAATGTGGACATTGTGTATGATATTTGTATTTATGTAGCCATGGAGATTAATCTAGTGGTGAGACAACAGTTGTACAGCCTTGTGTATGTTTGTGTCAGACACTTCAAAAATGTTATTTACTGAACTTAGGTGATGGGGTAGTTTGTCTCTGGTAACTTAGAACTGAACAATGAAAGTTGTTATTAAATGGTCTTTAGTGACTGGTTTTCCAGAATATCTGAGCACACATTTTTTTAATCAAGAAATAGATAGAAAAAAACTCTGTGATAGGACATTGGATGAGAACTTTCCCCAAGTGTTTGGAAAACATATACTGAATTTTTTTTCCGAAATACCATTCTGTATCCAGCCACTATGGCCGAACACTTTTAATTACGTATAACTTTTCAGCAGAAAGAGCCAGGAAAAGCCCTGAATGTTTCAAGTGAACTTGTTAGCAAAAAAACAAAACAAAACAAAACAAAACCTCCTATTGTGTGTAAGAACTGCAGGAAATACAATTTTATGCTGAAAAAGTTTTTAAACTTAACTGTTGAAAATTAGAGTAAGAATAAATATTCAGAATAACTTCAAATTGTATTGTATTTGTTTTGCTTTGCAGCATAATGATATTACACACAATAGACAGATGCATAAAATAAATCCAGTGCTGTTAAGTAGTGACAGTGTTGGGATTCTGTGCTTAAACGGTGAGCTCCAAGCTCTCCTGCTTTTAAAAATTGTTGCTGCTAATACTCAATAAAAGCTTAAAAACGTGTGCATTCAAACAGTATTTTTAAATTGATATTTTTGATGCCGAGTCCTTAAATGGAAGTAGATTATAAGTGTGGTCACCTCTGTTTATTATCTGTGAGACTATAAGATCTCAGAGTTTAGTTCCATGGTAGTGACTGTCGTTTGCCAAAGGGTAAAATTCAGAGTTTAAGATAGGAAAACCAGGGCCACTGCAGGCGTTATTTGCATTGCTGCATTCTGTTTCCAGAAGATCAGTTATGTCTCAGTCTTTGAATTTGTGGCAGGGAAGAGTCCCTTTTTTAAAACAGTATTTTAAAAATGTAGTTGGTTTTAATTATTTATTGTTAATCATTTTTTTCTTAAAAAAGATCTATTAATAAAAGATAATTGTACATCTCATTCTTACAAGGACTTTAGAAAAATTACTTAAACATATCCTCTCTACCTTTTAATGTGAATATTATGTCCAGTAGATTATTTTGTACCAGTTCTTTCAGAAATATCTCACTATTAGAATCATTAAAGCTTTTTTATAGCTGATCTTGTGCATGGACCTGCTATCAGAAAAGTACTGTAATGTTAAGTGGTGTGATTTGATTCCTTTGACTGCTGTTATTCTTCCAGTAGATGGTAGTACTAATTGCAGCTGTGATGGCAGTCTGAGAGATGAGATTTGCATGGATCAGAAAAGAGTGCTTCTCTTTGCATCACAGTGAAATGAGGTTTTTAAAAAAGTTCAAAATTATTTTCTGGATGTTAACGGTTAAGGACTATGCTTTGCAAGACTGTGTATTGTGTATCTTCCAACTACACAAAAAGAAAGCTATCAAGTAAGCATAAAGAAGGATGTCTTTAAGATCTGTAGGATGAAATATGTAATATACACATATAGTTGAATATAGTTAAAATTATTTACTGTGTGACCATAAAATACTTTTTTTACCTGGCGAAGTCCTGTAAATTGGAGCATGCAGAATGTAGTTGCAAAATGTTCCTGAAATCTAAAGGAATGGTCACAGTCTTATCATTAAGCGTGTCTTGATGTCAACATACTGTGGTTGGATTCAGCCACAAAGGTCAACTGTACTGTTATTGTATGTGTATAAGGTCTTAAAAAATGCAGTGTGTTTAGTGGTTGGTATTCTATCAGTTAGTGACTTTCTATTGCACATGGTTATTCATAAGAACAAACTGATTTGTGTCTTAATGGAATCTGAAAAAAGGAAAGACTGGATTAGAGTCAGCTCTGTTTAGTAGAATGTAACACTAATGTATTCACCTGCCATTAATTTAATGAACAACTCTGATAATCTGAAAATTTGAATAATTATTTATTTTGCCTTTTCCCAGGTTTTGCTTGTTTTTATTGTAATCATTGAACTTAGTGTATTCCATGAAGTAATAAATACTTACTGTTTGAACAGATTTCTAGCGTAGCTCTAATGCCAGTTGTTGTGGTTTAACCTGGCAACCAGCAACTAAGCACCAGTGTGTAGCTTTAGAAACCTCACGTATATCCCGCAGTTCTTGATATATTAGACGTGGCATATCATTTGTGTTGTTACGCTACCTTGCATGAAGAAGTCATCATCAAAAAAAAAAATTTGAACGTTCAGTGTCTCTAACACCGGGAAGCTATTGAGGTGATTGTAAAAGCTCTGGGGTTTTGGTTTTGTTGTTGTTCCTTGGTTCATAGGCTAAATCTGTTTTACTCTTCCCTGAAGCCCCTGTTTGCTTTATGATCGCATAAATGCGGGTGTTTTTCTGCAGTGTTTTTCTGTTTTTGTCTTCCCATGTTCCTTTATGTAGTTGAATACTTCTCTCCCTATAAAGACGTTCAGTTTTATTACCATATGTTGTCCTAGTCTCTGGTAGTCTGGATGCACTTTACAGCAGTTTTTTTAATCCCAAGTTTCTTTGCAAAATTGAGAAGCCTCAGCCATTCTGATTCTGTGATTCCATTACAAATATATTACAGTGAGGCTGCTTCATTCCTTCACACAGAAAGATGTGTGGTGACTTGGAAGCACAGACAGCTAATATTTGATTTATTAATTGTTTAATAGTATCGGTTCATGATGCCAGATCCTCTGCATGGACCACTTCATGATTATTATCTTTGAGAACACGTTGCCTGTTCACATAATTAATTGTTCACATAAGCAGAAATACAGGTAATGTTTCTGGACCTGTTGGATGATGTCTGAACGTTGTGATGGAGCACATTTTAAAGGAATTGTTAGTGTTACTCTTTTACATAAAAATACAAACAAACAATACTTGGCTGTCATGTTTTCCAAGACTGTTGCGTGACAACTTTATAATTTTTATAAAAAGAACTTTGAAGAATGCAATTTAAGTGCAATTGTAGCAGTACAGGTAAACTGCAGATGAAAATTGCATGAAACAAAAGAATATGGGGAAAACATTGAAATGTACTTGAAGGTCCAAGAAGGCTTCATGCACAATTTTAACAAATTTATTTAAAGAAAACTCTACTTAAGTAACTGTGTTAATTTTTTTTAAGAAATTCAATTCTAGATGAAAGAGTTGAGTAAATTGAAATATCTGTCATTTATCTTTATTCTGAAAAGAACTTTGAAACATTGTTGCACAGAGCTCAAAGAGAAGCAAAACTAATATTGTCTAGATAATAGAAACAATAATGATAATACTGGTAGTGGGTAATGAACAAGTGACAGATAAGCTAAAATTAATTTTTATCAGTACTATTACTTCTGGATAGGTGAGAAGCATCAACATGAATTCTGTATGATTTGGCATTAAGTTTCATATTAAATGATAAATCCATTAATGATGTGTAGAAGTACGTAAATTGAACAGTGATAAAATTTTAGGATTTTTATAGCTAGGAATTTTGATAAATACAGTGACTCAAATTAGAAGTATACGTGGATATGAATAACTTAGAACTTTGATTTGGCAAATATGAGATGAGAACTGAAGAAGAAGAAGAGGATAGATTGAGGAAAGAATATCCCAGACAGACATAAACCAGGAAATTTTTCCCTAATGATGAATAAAACACCTTCTGCATAGTTTTATTGATAAGAAACCGAAAATTAATTTTAATTCAAGTACCGTGGCAGGCAAAGACTGATTTGATTTTGAAATTCATACCTAGGTATACAGTTGAAAATTTTATGGTAAAATCTTACTGCAAACTTCACAGGATTACTGTCTAACTGAGCAGGTCCAGAAGGTAAGTCATGCTGTGTAGTTAAGATCAACCTTGGTTAAACAGCAAAACAACTTTAACTGAAGTCTAGCTGGAGCAATTTTAGGAAAAGAAATTAAATTCAGGATATTTATTGGGACTCAAGCAACTTTAAAATGCTAGAGCTCATGAATATTGTTAAGTATGTGTATTTTCAAATGTTACATTCTCAGTGTGTTTACAAGAAAAAGTGAAGAATTATTGGCTTAGGTAATTGAAATGAAACAGAAAATATGTCTTGGAAAACCTGTTTTTATAGCAGAATTTTTAGAAGGTGGCATTGAGTATGTTGCCTGCGAGTTTTCTTGTTCTGATTTTAGGATAAGAAGGGTAATCTCACACCCTCTTGTGCTGCATATTGTGACAAATGCTAACAGTTTAATTAATCCTCATGATTGTATATTGCTGATACTTATTTGTAGCTAGTGTCTCAGTTACAGTGAAGAGCTGGAAGTAATTTTCAGGATGTCAGGAAAACTTCAGGATAAGCTGTTAAATTTGGTACTTTTCAGTTACCGTGGTTATTTCTCCTGTAGAATGGTACTTGAGTCGAGTAGTCGAGTGCTGTTTTAAGAATAATAACCACATAGTAGGTCAGCTGTGCTGCTCTCTTCTGTGCAAGATCTGCGTTCCAGTCTGTTCAGTTCCATGTACTGGGCACAGGGATAAAGATTTATTCTTGGTTGATTCTGCTGGTAGAGGCACTGAATCTCTGTTGCTTAGGCCAGCATATACTGCTATCTTTAGTATTCCTTGTCTTTTTTCAGGACAAAGAAGGAGTGGAGGGTGTATCTGTGGGAGCCATTCTTTCTGACTACCAGAGAGTTCGAGTTGAAGATGTGTAAGAAAATATTAATCTTTATTAATATCCACGTTCTGGAAAGTGCTTTACTTGTTTGTTTTGTAACTCAAGTTCTGGAGTGGAGACAGTTGCTTTCTGTGTTACCCAATTAATTCGATTTGTTAATATAAGTACCTTGTTTTTCTTTCTTTCTTTTTTTTTTTTTTTCGCTTTCTGGAACTATGTGTTCATTAGTAAAAACCCAGTAGAGACTATACTGGATTGCTTTTCAGGTCTCTTGTGGATCTGTTAGAGTTTTGATATGAAAATGTTGAGTAAGTTGAGTAAGTTCAGATCTTTGATTTCAACTGAAAGCTCACTCAATTCCAGTGACTGTGGTGCTGGGGTCAGGTATCTCTGTTTTTCAACAGGTTTTTAATATAGAGGAACATTCTGTGACTTGTTATCAGGAATTAAATACAAGAGAATCCTTATGTGCATATCTTCCCTTCTTTAAAATCTAACATCTGTTGTCATTAATCAGGAGCTTTCATTTGTCATTTCTTCTGTGCACACTCTTTAAGTCTAGATGGATCATGATACTTTAAGAGTCCAGATGTAATGGGAATTGTGTGTGTTATATAGGTCAAGATTTGATTTGGGTCTGGAAGAAAATTTTCACTATATATGTCTGATGAAATGCAAAACCACCTTGAGTTCATTAGTTATTTGTTGCTGATAAAAGCAAGTATCTGGAATACCTTATGAACTGTAAGAATGATGAAGTTAATGCTGTGCCAGCTAGACTCACATCAGCGAGTTACACAGCATGGGTGTTTTCTTTATACTTTACATAGGTAAATTGCAGTCAGAAATAGCTCCTTTCTTCTTTTTTTCCCTTACACTTAAAACATTTTAATGACTGCCTGATCATGTTATTAGATATGTTAAAAAAGATTTCTTTTGTTGATTGTGGGTTTCAGGCCTTTTAGTACAGCCAGAAGATTGACAGGACATCACAGTATTTCAAACAGACCTGATTAATTTCAAGGCTGTTCAGTGGTAAAAAAATTTTACACTGATCTGTAGGTTTACCCCTTACCATGAAGTCATTTCACATAAACCATCCCAGGTACTTGGAGTCAGCCAATTCGATAGCTAAAGTTAGGCACCTAAATGAACTACTTCACATTCTGAATTGCTAAGTATGTCTGTTAATTTCACAATTTAGTGGTCTGCTAAAATATATGAAAGTAATAACAAAACCAATCAGATTATGAGGCTGCTAACTACGGATTTACATGTCAACATTAAACATCCATTTAAATATGAAGTCTTGATACTAATGGGTCTAGCTTAACATATGGAAGAAAGCCCATATATTAGATAAACAATGATAACTGACAAAGAAATGTGATTTTTGAGTGCTCTGAGCTAGTGCATAGTTAAATGTTTTTAAGTTTTTCAGGAACTAGTCATTACGCATTTTATCACCAACTGATGGTACCTGATGATTTGCAGAAGGGTTACCTATCAATAGTGCAAATTAGTGGTTCTCTAATTTGATAAACAATCAAATGCTGTATATCAAATGCTGACTAAATATGATATGTATCAAAACAAATAATTAAATTTACTTTAACAAATTTTTACTTTGTGTCACAAGCTATATACGTTTTGCTGAATGTTTCTTTTCCTTGGCTGTTGATCCAAATCACAGGTTTGAACGTAACAAATTCAGCGTATTGTACTAGCGACATGGGCTGCAAGTATCATAGAGCAGTAACTCTTGCCTTAGTTGTGTTCATAAAAAATGATAACTTCCCAAGGTGTTAATGTTTTTGTATCCCTGAATGTTCAGGAATGTGTTTTCTCATGGTTTTACTTATGTTCAGATGCAAATCTGTTTATATTTGTGAGTTACATCTTTCTTACATAGATGAATTATTGTCGGGACAGGCTTATTTATTTATTAATATTAGAATATATATATATATACTGAAATCTAGGTATAGATTGTATTGTAACATTCAAGCCATAATCATAAAAATGGCAGCTTTTGGTATGTATTCAGGTGCTGAGCAATATTGTCTACTGAAACTTCCCATGGACAAATTTTTAGTATTTATGTAACAACATAACGAGAAAAATAGAAATTTTGTTCTATATTTTAGGATAAGAAATGTTAATATGAAGAAAATTTTTAATAATTACATGGCTGAATAACAGTCATGATGTCTGAATTAATTTACCTGTTTGCAGTGCATTCTTACAGTAGACGTGGAAAAGATGGAAAGTAATGCTTCCTAGCGTACTCATTGAATTCCTTTTGTAATTTTTTTGTTCTACTTTGGTTTTGATTTGCAGTAAAGATGCATGCATAATTCAGTGGTTCACAGTATTGTCATTTATAAATGATGCAGACTGGTGGCTAGACACCCGTGAAAGTTTTAATAGAAATACAGCAAATTAACATCAAACAAGATGTGATTATGAGGCCAAAACATTTTGTGTAACAACAGTCTTTGAGTTGGTAAAGCATATAGCAAACAGAAATAGTTCATCATTGCCTTTAAATAAATGATACTTACAATGTAGTTGTTTACTACACCAGAAAATTAACATGTCTTTTCATTGTCAAATATGTAAAATGAGGTTTGTGTAATGAAGCAAATCAGTCTGAGAGATAACCTGTCTCTTTATTGTTTGAATGTAAAGATAAGGTCAAATGACGTTCTATAGGAAGTCTTATGGAATGACATGCTCTGTAACCGTAAAAAGTACATAAGAAACGTACTAATGGTACAATATGTTCATTGCAGGCCTCTGCAGTTTTTCATTTAAGAGTATCAAATGAGGTCTTAAGCATAAAGTGTGACCAAAGGACCTTTTCTTTTTGGGTTGACTGTAGGTTTGCAGTCCATTGGACCGAAGAATGGCTAGTATAGTACGAGACGATCAGTGGCATTGGTGGCTAAAGATGTATGTTTGAAAAATTGTGTTGTATAACCTTGCATTAGAAGTCCAATGACTTGTTTATCTGGGTGACTTTCACATCAAATTCCTAATGTCTGCCCTTTAAAGAATGCTTTATAATAAAGTAATTTCTCCTAAATATTAACCAAGAATTGAATTCTAATCCCTTTAGATTAATTCTATGAAATTTTTTTTTTAATTAATTAGTTATTTTTTTAATTTATTTGTTCCTCTTTAGCTGGTATAGTTCCTAACTCATTTTTACGTTATCACTATGATGGTCTCACTGTATTGTTCTCTAAGATCTGCTAGTGTTCATAGTGAGATTAGAATGATTAGCAATACCCCATTCCCTTCTTCACTTATAGGTAACAAGCAATGTAATTTAGTAGCCATTTTCCTGAACTTTGGAAGCCTAGTTACAAATACATAGTTGAATGCTGTATTTTCTGCTATAAAACACTTCTTTTTTGAATTGGAAAAAAAAAATAATGAAGGAATAGTTTTAAGGCCATGTAAAGTACATTTTTATATTTATGCTATTTTTCCATAAAATAGAATGCTTTCATTGCTTCTGCTGACATAAAGAAAAAAATTAAAATCCACAATGACTATTAATATGCTTTTTCACATCAGAATTATTCATCAAGTTTAGGTTGTTTTCACTAAATTTTGTACAATTGAAGGAAACTAATTCTGAAAAGGAAAACAAAAAAACCACAAAATGAAACAAGCAAATGATATTTAAAATTTATTTGAAAAATGTTAAAGAAAATACATCGTTTAAATAATAGAGAAAGCTGTTTCACAAGAAGATATCATTGATGATCTGTCTTACGCCTGAAGCAAGATAAGCTTGTCTTTTCTATTCTACAGTCTTAAAAAAACCTGAAAATGCACTAGTTACTATACAAAGAGTGCTTTGTGGGCTATTCATTGAAGGAGTGAATACCATAAATGCTTGTAGATAGCAGTTAGATAGAAAATCACTACGAGATTTTTTTCCTTTTTATATTTTTGGCTACAGGTAAAAGAAAGATCTTATCAGAGTCAATTTCTCACCTGCCTCAGGCAGATATAATTAGATGTAAGCAAGTTTAATGGAGCTTGTGTGCTCTGGGGCCATTCCATAATGCTTTAATAATTGCATGCCTTATTAAAGTGGATTTAAGGTATGAAGGCTGTTTAACATATCAAGTGGCAAAGGAGATAAGATACAATTTAACTTTTTGCCTTAGATTAATAATCAAAGTTAAATTGCAATGAAAATATTTAAAATAACGGATTTAAGAGTCTGAAGGGTGATGCATTAGATAGTACATTGTACAGGTGTTAATGCAAGGAACAAATCTGTTACTTAGCTTGACATTTATCAGTGCTGGTACACTGTACACCCGCCTTGTCCTGTTTTCCGTTGACTCAGTGCCAGTATAGGCAAGGTAAAAGCCTGTCGTTCCTCGTAGAAAACACATAATTATGCAACTAAATGAGCATTAGTTTAGTACATTTCCCTAAATCCACCACTACAAATTAATACCATAAACTTTGCCAGTGGCAAGAGTTTTCTGTCTCAGCGTAGTGTGGTTTTCCAGATGGGATACCAATTGCTTTCACTTACATGCAAAAGAGGTATTGTTAGCAAGCCTTCTTCACATGCCTTCTGTTGATCTGTAAGTAGATCAGCTTTCTTTCCTTCAAAGTGTATTTCAGAGACTTTAATGATAAGAGAAAAACATTCCATGATCTAGCAGCAAACCTGGGCAATAAAAAAAAAAAAAAAAATTGTGCTTACGCATGTTCATCTTCGGTGCCATTTTCTTGTTGCTAAAGATACCTGCATCGTGCGTGATACTTTTATATTTTAAATACACCCCTGTTCAGTGGAAATCCCAGAAAGTCAAAATGAGGTTACTCAGTAATAGCTAAAATAGAAGCAGGTATTGGTTGTTTTTAACATGTGTATGCCTGAAATTCTAGTAATATCCATTGTTTATATGAGACAATGTAATATAGGACAATCATAAAATGCTTTTTTGGTGTCCTTGCGCTCTGGACACATTTTACAGATTAAAATGCTAATTAACTTGCAAAGTATGCATGTAACAGATTCAACTTTTAGTCTCGGTGACTTTATGTACTAGTCTTAACCTGTGCCATGTTCTAAAGCAAATTGCTTCTACCGCAGCACAAGGTGTAATACTGAGGTGGCAGCGAGAGAAGGAGGCAGGTTATATTTGGAAGGAATCTTTGGGTTCCTCACTGTGTGATCCTCAGTAAAAACTGAGCATTGAGTTTTATTTGTTTTTACTTTACTTATGTAGTTATCTATACCTAAATCTTGTTAAGAATTAACACTAAAATTTAAGCTCAATTATACATTTTAAAATATGACAACCTTCAGTTCTCATATATATGAGAATATAGTTGAAATTGTTTTTGTCATGCAGTTAAAGCAATTTGTCCTCAGTGATTCTAGTTTTTCCTGAAGTTTTAAGAGTAATGTTCGCTTTCAGTAAGTATTGTGAATGCATATTGTTAGCCTGAGAATCTGGGGAAACAAAATTGCTTCTTCAATGTTTTGGTCAACATCAGAATTTAAGCTCAAATTTCTGTCTTTTAAGGGATTAATATGCATTATTTATTTCATACGTTACAGCTTCTTCCCAGTTTGGTTATAGTAAAGTAATGATTTATTATTCAATTAAATACTTGGAAAGACATTGTAATTAGGAGATGAAATAACAGGAATACTAAGTTGAAAAAAACTCTTTCATGGTTAAATTACATTTCTAACTTCTAACTGTTCTTTGGACCAGAGGAGAGAAGTGATACCATAACGCTGTTCAACTGTTGGACTATAATAAGAGCTGAAAGTTTGTATCAGGGCTGATCAGCTTGTGGTCCTCAGCCTACATTTGAAATGGGGCTCTTATGCCATGGCTGCATCCTTTATCATGTGGATCCGGCTACTATAAGTGCTTCTGGACAATCTGCATGCTCAGCCATGGGTAAAGTTGAAATCACAGGGGCTGTGGAAGCCTAAATTTTGAGATGGTGTGGGCCCTAGTTGCTTACCCAGGCTATTTGCCTCTGACAGTGGAGTAACGAGTCCTTGGGGAGCCATTGCTGTCTTGTCTGTCTGTCAACAAATCCTTAAGTTCCTTTTCTGAAAGGAGCTGTCCAAAGTACGTATATTTAACTAGAGTCTCCCTTGCTGTGAGAAGATCTTGATGCTTGCTGCACAAGGTCAAGAAAATTGGTATACTCCTGCTGTACATAGAATGCTCTGAAAAGCTGGTAGTTTAGGGATGCCTGTGTTTTTGTATGTCAGCTTTTTGTTTAAAAAGAGAGAGTGTTACTTCTCAGTATAATGAGATCAGTACCTTTAGCTTTTATTATTTATATTTAACCACTAGGTGTATGCATTATTGTTTATTATTTGCATGCCATTAGCATACAGAAGTGAAATCCTTATTGACTGAAATTGATAGCCAGACTCCCATTAATTTTAATGGAGGTAAGATTTCTGTATGAAGTCATACGTTAAAAAAGAACTAGCGCCACACATTTCCTGGTTAAGCTCCTGAGGGTCTAATTTAGTGTTACAGATAAACTGCTCTAATAGTGAGTTGCTGCCAAAAGGTTCTTCTTTCCTTCCCCGTTCTAGCTGACTCTTCCAAACCACAAGTCTCTACTTGCTTCTGCCTCTGTAAAAGCTCTCATGGTTGTGTGACTGCAGCTGGGTGATCCGGCAGAGAACTACTACGCAGAAGGGAACTTGCTGTGTAGATGCCATGGCTGCATGGAGGACCCAACTCTCTCTTTCAGTAGAAAGCTTACCCCTAAATTGACTTGGCTCTAATGTCAGATCATATCCTGAAAGTAAAATCGGTGGTTGTGTGAGTTTTGTCTGAGCATGTCATCTGTGCAATGGGAAGGGACTGTGTTCTTTGAAGATGTGTCTCTGGTTTTTAGTACGGAGCAATTTTAAAGTCATTCATGGGGAAACCAAAGAAAACTGTTATATCATCATCACAGGGGAACATACTTGCTTCCTGTAAGTATTTTTAAAAAATTCTTGGTTCA